TGAAGATTTCATTTAGATTTAAGTGTTGGGGTCACCTGGCTGGCTTAGTTGGAAGAGCGTGCAACTCTTGATGTCGAGGTCATGAGGTGCAGAGATTGCTTAAATAAACAAACAAACGAACTAAATAGATTTAGGTGTAAAGTTGCTGTCTCTCCAAAGCTTTACTAAGTATATTACATGAACTTTCAAAATTACCTCAAATTACATAAAAGTAAAAATCAGCCTTGTACATGCTTGCTTTTTAAAATTAAAAAAAACAAAACAAAACTATGTCTTCTGTTGTAGGACCTTGTTTTCTTGAAGTATTACATAGAAGGTTTTCGGTGGTTGTGATTTGAGTGAATTGTCTTTTCTCCAACTGTATTTGGAGACTTGGAGACCTGTAAACTTGTAATGGTAAACTTGTAAAATAGGCTAAGTTTAATGTATTTTATCTTGTTATATTTGCCATTCTTTGAAAAAATTTTAACTATTTTATCAGTTCTGAAGCCGTGAGTATTTTAACCATAATTGAGGAAAAGGTCTTTTAGGTAATAGGGATAGATGTCGATATAGCACGTCTGCATTTTCTTTAATTCCATCTGGTGGACTGACAATAAGTATTGAGGGGTAAATGAGACAGTTGTTGGTAGCACTTTGTTAATGCTTACTTTCTTTTTTATGTCATCTCTCCCTCTTTCCTTCTACTTTCCCCTCCCCACTTTTCCTTACATTTTCCTTTCTCCTGCTTTTATTGCCAGGAGACCTGTTAAAATTAACAACCATTGTGTATCTCTACCAGTAACATTCAAAGCTAGAAAAACAACTATTAAAATAATATGCTGTTAGTTTTTAAGGTATAGATGGTAGTGCAAATATTTTAAATGAATCATTTTTTTCTTTGTTTATGTAATGCTGGTTAGTTAACTTTCAGCCTCTTATAATTTTTTTGTTTATTTTGAGAGAAAGTGAGCAGGGGAATGGGGCTGAGAGAGAGAGAGAGAGAGAGAGAGAGAATCCCAAGCAGGCTCTGCGCTGTCAGCACAGAGCCCAACGTGGGGCTCAGAGTCACAAAACTGTGAGATCATGACCTGAGCCAAAATCAAGAGTCGGATGCTCAGCTGAATTAGCCACACAAGTGCCCCTTTTGTTAATATTTTTTTAAAATAAAGCAGGACTGGGGGTGCCTAGGTGGCTCAGTTGGTAAGTGTCCGACTGCGGCTCAGGTCATGATCTTGAGGTTCGCGAGTTCAGGCCCCACGTTGGGTTCTGTGCTGACAGTTCAGAGCCGGGAGCCTGCTTCAGATTCTGTGTCTCCCTCCCTCTCTCTCTGCCCCTCCCCCACTCATGCTCAGTCTCTCTCTCAAGAATAAATAAACATTAAAAAAAATTTTTTTTTTAAATAAAACAAGACTGTCACTTCAAAACAACTGATAGCATTTGTTGTCAGTAATAAAATTTTAGCTTTCAGTATGAAAATTAGAACTTTGGAAAACTTGTATCTGTCACTGTGAACTTGACAGCTTCCCAATACTTAAAAGACCTTTCTGATGAGATCAGTGGTTCTATTAATGAGTGTGATGATTCTAACATCATACAATGAAGTGTGTCAACATTTGGAGTATTTGCATAACTTAGTAATATTTCCATTTCCAAGGGACAAATGCATGAAGTTATAAAATCAGGTGTAAGTTATAAAATCAGGTGTAAGTTATAAAATCAAAAGGCAAAATATATCAACGGAATTTTATGTAACAAAGTATTAAAAGTTTATCGATATGGTTTCAATTTCCTTCTTGAAAAAAAACAGTTAAGAAACTACCACGTGTTGAGTTTTTTGTATATAATCAAAGAATGATATATACAGATTTCCAAATGCGTATCTGGTGAAGCCTAAGTTTCCTTTTAAATATCAACCAAAAGAGCATATCACAACAGTTTGAATGCACAAAGAAATGTGAGAATCCACCTGTCTTCCATTGTCAGATATTAAGGAGATGTAAAAATGTAAAACAATACTTTTCTCTCTAAAATTTTTTTTGAAAAAGTTGTGTCTCATTAAAATGTTATATTTATTAGCATATACTAGGTTCCTTTAAGAATAAGTTTTAAAAATGTTTTGAAGGCTCAGTTCTAATGCCTAATCCAAAATACTGGTAAATATAAACCACATAAACTTAAGCTTTTTGAGGTCCTCAAGGATTTAAGAGAGCGAAGAGGTCCTGACCAAACCTTTGAATTCCCCTGTAGCAGAGAACTAATTTCCAAATGAAGATGAAGAAGGGGCGCTTGATTATCATGGCTCATTCTCCTGGTTATCATGAGTACTGGATTTGAATATTAAATGCCTTGTTTAGAGACTTTAAAAGAGAAAGCACAGTTGGGGTTCATTCCTGTTGGGCTGGGGAGACTTCAAGGGCTTCAAGCACAGGATTTTCTTTACCTTCCTTCCAGGTATTGTTGTTCTGTGGATGGGAAACTCGAGCAAAGAGGAATGGAAAAATCATCAGCACCAAGTTAATGGCTGGTAGAAAAACTAAGCACTCCCTTATAGTGTTAATCATGTCCCTGGGTAATCTTTTTTTGGGACATTCTTTTGGGGGTGAGATGAAGGAAGAGGCAGGTTTACGATCTGTTCCTAAGATAAAACCTAACAGAAAGTATGACTGAAGAGGAACTGAGTGAATATCCTTGGAGCTACCAGTTCTTACTGGAAGAATAAAAAGCCTGACTTAAAAGGAGCCCTGACCTGCAGGAACAACAGGACGATTTATTAGCTGGTTGTGCTCCCTGGGCAAAGCATCAATACTCAGCCACTTAGCCAATAAGGAAATACTCAGCCTCTAGAAAGAAAGGCAATTGGGGTTTAAACTCATGCTGGACTGTTCCCTTCAATTTAGCATATTACCTGGCAGTAAAGTGTAGATATTCACTAAAATAATTGAATCTGTGTTAAATGTTTAATGATTGGGATGAAAGGGGGAGGCTTTTCTATTTAGGGGACTTGGAGTTATCTGGTGGTTGCTTCTCTAAAAAATTTTCAAAGACCAATTGGAAGGAGATGGTTAATTGCAATAATAAACATGGTTGAAATGGGAGCTACTGATTGAAAGCAAGAACCGTCAGACCAAGGGAGATAATACTTCAAGAGATGGAAATTTATAATTTATACTCACTGAACATTTGTTGAATGTCCTCTTCCCTGAGGGAAATAGATGAAAAGGAAGTACATTATGTAGACGCCTCACTGAGAGCTATCATTGAACACTTCACAGTGACTTCTTCCTCATGCCAGGACTTTTGAGGTTGGAAGTGAGTTATCTGTTGGGGCTTTTTCAAGTAAAACCACATTGCTCTGAGGGCCCTGCATAGACAGAAAATAGATTTAACTCAGAGTCTTTCAGTCTTAGAATGGCATTAATGCCAGGATTATGTACAACACCAATAGTTGCCAGTTTATGTTTAGTACGAAAAGAACTTTGGCTTGGACTTAGGTAGTTGGGTTGTAATCTATTTTGTAAACAGTATCTGTTATTTATAAAGAGAGATTGATATCATTTCAATGCTTCTATAAAATAATGTATGAATTACTTATGATAATGATAAAATGGTCTCCGAGGCCACCATTCGCACGTAGGGAAATCTAGATGATGATGCAGACCACACAACCTGACCCACAGAAGTGTTTTGTTTGCCTTGCACGGTACTTTAAAGATGGGAAATTTTACATAGAAATCTAGTTTTCCAACTCTTCTTAAAGAAAGACAAATCATACAATTTTTCAGACGTGGGCCTGCATTCTAGTAGGACCATAATCAGCTGGATCTGTCCCATGACACCATACACACACACATTCTGTATACCCTCCTCTTGGCCAGTCTCCACCACTCCTTACTGCTTTCGCATGGCTCACCTTATTTGATTTTCCTGTTTGGCTCTACTGATGGTTAAGTTAGAAGTCTCATCTGGCCAGCTGTTTCACACAGACTATCCTAGGGGATCCTTCTTACTAGTGCCAGCTACCTGACGTGCAGTATTGTGTATTTATAAGGGTCGTTAAGACAGCGAATCTTAAGGGTTCTCATCACAGGAAGAAAATAATTGTAACTATGTAAGGTGATAGATGTTAACCAAACTTACTGTGGTAATCATTTCACAATATATACATGTATCAAGTCATGTTGCACACGTTAAACTAACACAGTGTTAGTATGTCAATTATATCAATAAAAGTGGAAAACATTTTGGCTTCAGGATCCAACTTAATCATTTTTAAGTATCTCACTTTTTATTTCCTGGTGCAATCTGCTATTACCAATGTGTCCATGAGTATTTTTTTCTTTCCTAATGACTCATACAAAGAAATAGTCAAGTGCCCAGTCCAATCTCATGATTTTTGCAAACATTTAAAAGCTTAAAGATATTGAAATGTACTACCTCAGTTCTATTTCTTTGGGGGTATATGCATATAGCAGGTGTCCTCGTACTTGAAAGTTTAATTAGCCAGGGCAGCTGTCACATCGTCCAGTTGTTTTTAGCATTCTCTGGTTGTAATGGCAGTGGCGATGTGATCTCAGAAAATGCTAACTGATCAACTTGCATTCTTAGACATGTTTCTGCTTTATTGAGTGCTGACAAGTGCTCTTGACCTAAAAAATAACTAATAGCAGAGGTTGTGGCTTTCTATTACTTAGTTGGAAGAATCTCAGTAATTTTGGCAAAATTGGACAGTTGTGTTGTTTCTCATTACATTAATATTTGACTTACAAAGAGAGCCCCAAAGAAGTCATTTCTTTCTGTATTTTTAGCCTCTTATACAAAAGTTTTGATTCAGCTGCTAAAATTGCTTGTTGCATTTCATAAATTTTTGCTGATTACAATGTTTTTGTGTCTCAAACTTCCACTGTTACTCTGTATATCAAGTTGCATCTATTTACTTGACCTTTGATTAAGTTAAATGGTATGGTTTTTTTCAACAATGACATGTAATAACATATTTCTCTTCTTTTTTTAAAAACTAGATTTGGACTGAGCAACAAATTTGAATCAGAATTCCCTTCTTCGTTAACTGGAAAAGTGAGTGTCTGTTGTTTACTTAGGTACTATTTATATACCTCAAAAGTAGAGTCTTTTCGTAACAAATTAGAAAAAATAATTATGCCAATGAGACATGTTTCTTGACATTAATATTGCAGTGTTGTTATTTCTTAAAATTTTTCTTTAGGTAGCTCCTGAAGAATTTAAAGCCAGCATCAACAGAGTTAACAGTTGTCTTAAGAAGAACCTTCCTGTTAATGTACGTTGGCTACTTTGTGGCTGCCTTTGTTGCTGCTGCACATTAGGTTGCAGTATGTGGCCAGTTATTTGCCTCAGTAAAAGAGTAAGTTGAATTAATATATTTTAATTTAAATTTAGAAGTAGATAAGCAAATCTTTCATTTACCTAATTTTATTTTTGTATTGAATGAATCACACCATGTTGAATACGACAACAAAAATAATCTGATCCAGTAGAATGATTAAGTACATTATGGTATGTCCATAATGTTATATTAAATTTAATTATATGTTATATCTGTAATTTTTATGATCTAAGAAATTACCTAAGAGTAGAGTAGAATACAGCATTCTCTCTCTACGTATACATTAATGGTGGTATAGCATAGTGATTGAGAATGCTGGGTGCAGGTCTACCACTAATCTCTGTGACCCTAGGCACATTTCCTAACCTTTTTAAAATCTAGTTATCTTATATACAAAATGACAGTATTCACCCAACTACTTGAATAGGATTGTGGCAAGTATAAAGTGAAATAGTATATGGAAAGCTATTAACTAAGTAGCTCAAAGCGTCTAATAAACATTGACTAATGGCGTGATTACTAAAATGTAAGATAGTACCAACAGATGAAGTAACATGGTTACAATGTTTGTTTCTTGTTGGTCAGATTATGGGGAATTCTGTTTTCTTTTGAAGAAATTTTGTGGCTTTTTTTTTCTTTTGTATTTTACAAGTTTCCTGAGATGAGTACATAGTGATTCTGTAATCAGGAAAAAATGATCTAAAGAGTCATAATTTTGACTCAGATATGGATAGAGATATGGCAAATTGTTGATGGAATGCATTACATTTTTGTTAAAGTTTTTAAAAAGTATGGTAACTATATGTATAAAAATGAAATACTGTTAAGTTGAAATTGAATGAGTGGTTTTATGTGGCTGCATTTCATTTTGTCATCAAATAATGATAGGGAACATGGAAAAGCAAATTCAGTTTGTCCCTTGATTTCTGTTATAAAAATAAGCAGTATATTCCTAATGAGAAAGAATTTTAGCTAGTACATTTTATTGATAGGAAGGAGATAATGCCTTTGTGTTAGAATTTTGTAATATTTACTGTAATATCTGTAATACTCATTTTTTCTCCAAGAATATTTCTTCTTTTCCTTCCTGTATTTCTGACCAGATCATCTTCAGACCACAGAATGGTTTTTGTTTTTGTTTTTGTTTTTGTTTTTGTTTTTGTTTTGTTTGTTTTTGATCTTTGGTTGTCCCTTGATCCATGATCAAATTTGCAGCCCTTGGAGTTTAGATCCTCTTACTTCTGCCTCCTGTTTGGGATGTTTTCATTATTTAAATGACTGCTGTATCTCATTTGGTTGGCAGTTTACTGCTGTTTAACTCAGGGAATCATAAGAATTTTCTTATTTTAGAAATCTAGGTATTTAAAATCTACTTTTTTTGGTTTTTGAGGTTTTGAGATCCTTTGTTTTTTACCTTTTAAACGAGAAAACAAGACATTGCAATGTGTGTACAGTGTAGGATTTAGAAAACAAAACTAAACTTCCTACTCTTTTCCATGTGTTTTTAGCAACATAAATCATTTTGTCAAAAACATTTATTTATTTTTGAGAGACAGAGAGAGGCAGAGCATGAGCAGGGGAGGGGGAGAGAGGGAGGGAGATACAGAATCCGAAGCAGGCTCCAGGCTCTGATCTGTTTGTTAGCACAGAGCCTGACACGGGGCTTGAACTCTCGAACTGAGAGACCACAACCTGAGCTGAAGTCAGACACTCAACGACTGAGCCACCCAGGCGCCCCAACATAAATCATTTCTTAGATGCTTTCATTAAATTCTTATTTGAGACATAAGATAGATTGATTTTTTTAGGTTATTCTCATCTGTAGTTTCAGAAAGTACATTTTGTTCAACAATGTAGTATTCAGTCCAAGGTCTCTGTATGTATATAATTTAATTTTATATGGACTTTACTATCTAGTGAGTGCAAACAAAACGATTACTGCTTTTAAAAAAGCTGTGCATTTCCTTGTCTCTGATGTAAAGTATTACATACCCAGGGAGAGAGTGACACTTCATGCATGTATGAAGGTGCTTTGTACAATGGGAGCAGGATAATTTAGAGCAGGGATTTTTGACTTTTATTTGTTGTGGACTCTTTTTGTGTTCCGGGGAAGCCTATGAACCCTCTCTTAGAATGTTTTATTTGTATTTTAAAAGATTTAATGTATTTAAATGTATGAAATGAAATATTTAATGTATTTTAAGTGTAGGAAATGAAATACACAAGTTATAAAGTTTCCTTATAACTTTCGTTATTGAAGTGCTAAAATCCCTCAAATATATTACTTATAAATATTTATTAACGCAAATTATTAATTATTAATGCAAATTATTAATATTAATATTGATGCAAATAATTATTAATGCATATACAAAATAAGATAGCAGAGGATCTATGGTAATACTATGTGATAGGAAAAACCTATGATATCTGTGAGTGATGGAAGTACAAGTCCTGTTTAGTCTACCACAGACCGTTGCATACATTCATGACCTAAGGAAACTATACCACATTTCAGTTAGAGGTTAGTGAAAATGAAGACGAATCTTTGTTTCATCCACTTTTCATGGAGTCCTAGAATTCTATCTAGGTATTTCATGTTAAGAACCCTTGATTGAAATACTAGTATAAATAAAGGCTAAAACCCTACCTGATTGTTAGCCACTGAACCTTTCCTTTGTCTTCATTTGTGAGGTGGTATTGGTTAGAATTGTCTTGGGGCGCCTGGGTGGCTCAGTCGGTTAAACTTCCAACTTCGTCTCAGGTCTTGATCTCACAGTCTGTGAGTTCGAGCCCTGCGTCGGGCTCTGTGCTGACAGCTCAGAGCCCGGAGCCTGCTTCAGATTCTGTGTCTCCCTCTCTCTCTCTGCCCCTGCCCTGCACACGCTCTGTGTCCCTCTCTGTCAAAAAATAAATAAACATTAAAAAAAAAAATTAGAATTGTCTCCGACTCTTAAGTCGAATCAGGACCAAAGGCATATTTTCTATGCAGCTCAGTGTTTCCACCTTCATGACATTATTCAATAATTTGGATAATTAGATATCTGCATTGCTTTGTATTTTTTTATTTTATTTTTTTCTTTTTCTATTATTATTATTTTTTAAATTTACATCCAATTTAGTTAGCATATAGTGCAACAGTGATTTCAGGAGTAGATTCCTTAAGATTTCTGCATTGCTTTTTAAATCCATCTCCAACTAAGTACCCCTTTGTATCAGTTGACCTTCCTCTGGAGACCTTGTTTTCAACCTGCATTATTATTATTATTCCTTCCAAATTGCCTTTCCTTTTAAAAACAAACCGCCATAACCTATCTTTGAAAATTATTTAATATACAGCAGAATTTACTCTTTTTGATGGAGATCAATGATTTTTGACAAATGCATAGAGTAGTATGCTACCACCACAACCAAGATACATTACGGTTCTCCAGAAAACTTCCTTGCGCTGTTCCTTTGTAGTCATACCCTTTTCAGCTCTTCAACCCTGACAGCCACTGATCTGTGTGCTATCCCTACAGTTTTGCCTTTTCAAGCATGTTATATAAATGGAATTATGCAGTATATGTAGCCTTTTGAGTGTGGCTGTTTCCTTTAGCTAGTGCATTTGAGATTCATCTATTTTGTTGCATGTATCAATAGTTTATTTATTTATTTATTTATTTTTGCTGAGTAGCATTCCTTTGTATGGATGTGTCACAATTTGTTTATCCACTCACCAGCTGAAGGGACATTGTGTGGTTTACACAATCCAGTGTGGATTGTGTAATTGGTTTCCACAATCCAGTTTTTGGTGATTTTGAATAAACTTAGTGTAAATGTTCACATGCATATTTTTCTGTGAACATAAGTTTTTATTTTTAGGAGTTGGGTGGCTGGATCCTACAGTAAGTGCATGCTTGATTGTATAGGAAACCTCCAAATTGTTTTCCAAAGTGGCTGTACCATCTTACATACCAGCCAATGGTATATGAGAGTTCCGGTTGCTCGGCACCTTTACCAGGACTTAGTATTGTTAGTTTTAGAAATTTTAGTCGTTCTCATAGATGAAGTGCATCTCATTCTGGTTTTACTTCCTATTACCCTTGTGGCTAATGGTATTAAACACGTTTTAATGTGCTTATTTGCCATTTGTACCTCTTTGTTAAAGTGTTTATTCCAGTATTTTCCCATTTTGTTGTTGTTTTTGTGTTTGAAAGAGAGAGTGAGTGAACAAGAGTGGGGGAGAGGGGCAGAAGGTTAGAGAGAGAGAATCTTAAGCAGGCTGCACTGCGTGGCGTGGAGCCCAACGCAGGGCTCGATCTCATGACTGTGAGATCATGCCCTGAGCCAAAATCAAGAGTTGGATGCTTAACTGAATGAGCCGCCCAGGCACCCCCAAATATTTTGCCCGTTTTTAAATCGTTATTTTTTAGGATTCCTGGGTGGCTCAGTCAGTTAAGCATCTGACTTCAGCTCAGGTCATGATCACAGTTCGTGAGTTCATTAGTTCGAGTCCCTCATTAGGTGACCTCGTGCCCTGCTTCTGGTGAGCACGAGCCCCACTTAGGGTGAGCCCCACTTCTCTCTCTTGATGCCTTTAATGGGATTCTTTTTCTCTCTCTGTTCCTTGCTCACTTTCTCTCTCTCTCAAAAATATTTTTTATTGTTGAGTTTTGAGAATTTTTTATATGTTTGGAGTATAAGTCCCTTGTTAGGTATGTAGCCATATATATTTTTAAATGCTTTTTCTAAATATTAAAAAAAAGTTAAAAGAGGAGTCTCTGTGGCTCAGTCTGTTAAGTGTCCCAACTCATGGCTCAGGTCATGATCTCATGGTCCATGAGTTGAGCCCCTTGTGGGGCTTTATGATGACAGCTCAGCCTGGAGCCTGCTTCGGATTCTGTCTCCCTCTCTCTGCCCCTCCCTCGCCCACACACACTGTCTCTCTTTCTCTCAAAAAATAAACATTGAAGAAATTCTTTTAAATGGTTTTTCTTTTTTTCTTTTCTTTTATTTTTGGGAGAGCGCAAGTGGGG